ACTATTTAATCTATATATATAAAAATGGCTCTGTGTGTGTGTGTGTGTGTGTGTGTGTGTGTGTGTGTGTGTGTGTGTGTTTTCCAGCATAACTCTGGAACGCCTCAAGCAATTTCAACCAAATGTGATACACAGATCATTTACCCTCTGGAAAAATATTGTGGGGGTAAGACACCCCTAAAACCCATTGGGAATGTTCGTTCTGTTAAGATACAGCCTGTTGTGCTATAAAATGGCTTCTACTGTCCTGCCGTAAAATGGCTTCTACTGTACAGTGCAGTAGAGTTGCCATGGAAATGGCATCACAGTACTCTACAAGGGGGCTCCCTCTGGTAAGGGGGAAAATTCAACATTAGAAATTAAGTTTGGTCAGGACATTTCCCCTCCTATAAATAAATACCCGGGCAACACCGGGTTATCAACTAGTGAGTCATTTTAAAAAAAAGATATTGGAAAGGCAGAGTATAAGTCCACAAATGCCCCCAGGAAGTCCTCCATCCCCCTCGGGACCCCCTGGCTAGCCTGAGGCCTGCACCAACCTTCCAGTTTCTGGTTTTCCTTCTCCATCCGAAGGAGGAGGATCTGCTGGTGGATCGCTTTTCTCCACAGGCTCTGCAGCTCCTCTGACTTTTTCTTCTCTCCAGTCTGATCCTCAACATCCTCGTTTTGCAAGAAGGAAACCAGGGGCACTTCGTCAAAGGACGGTGGAAGCGGAGATAACGGCAGCAGTTCTTTTTCATCACAGCCATCTGGGAATTTTGTTAATGGTGAATTCGGTAAATGCTATCCAGTATCTGTACTTGGGGCCTGCTTTAAGGAAACGCAGCCCAACCCTAATTGTGTGTTTTTGATGTTATCCTGTCCATCCCGTTACCTGTGTGTTACACTTCCCCCATCCCACCCCATCAACCTACAAATGGTTGGTTGCAAATCCTGCAGAGACCCGAACAAACAACTTTTGGAATTTGGTTTGTGCTGCGAAGTCCCTAACACAATGCAACCTCAGATTCAACTACCCTGTATGCCGGGTTGGGGGGGGGAGACAATAATGGCCCTTTAATGACTTGTGGACTTCAAATCCCAGAATTCCTGAGTTAGGGTCCATGCCAGCTCAGGAATTCTGGCAGTTGAAGTTCACAAAACATAAAGGGGCCATGGTTCCCCACATCTGTTATATCCAGAAATTGATGTATTTGAAAGACAAACAAGAGAAATCCTGAAACTTTAATGGATGGATGGACAGACAGACAGATATAGTAAGGGGGAGAGAGAGAGAGAGAAACAGACATGGACAGACAGACAGACAAGAGGATATATGATAGATAGATAGATAGATAGATAGATAGATAGATAGATAGATAGATAGATAGATAGATAGATAGATAGAACTCTATCCTGTTCAGAAAATAAAACCAAGAAAGAACACATTATTTTTGGATTTCAGATTCTCTCCCATTTGGTACCCCCAATGAGTACAGATATAGGCGACACCTTTTAACATCAAACAACACTCATTACATGCTGTATCGGGAAGGGTACTCTTGAACCAACAGATCCCTTCAACAATACAAAAGGGCTTTTATCATTCTCTGCCTAAAGAGCTCCCAAGCAGGATCTTTTATTTATCATCAATCAGGCTTTGAAGTAGTTGGAAATAAAAGGAAACCACACAAAACTCTCCCTCCTGGACAAGGGCCCTTCAGAGGTATGAGCTCATGGGAGACACAGGGACACATTAAGGGGTCCTTTCAGTACAGACTCTAAAGCAGCTGTTGGCAGAAGCTGTGGAGTCATTGTGTTTATGAATACTTGCAGCAGAAACACTGACAGGAGCAGCCTGTTTTTCTTTTCTTTTTTAAAATATTTTTATTAAACAGTTTTTTTTCCATTTTTTTAAAAAAAAACATAAATATTGTCTGTGCAACTTTTCTGCATCGTTAAGCATCCATTATACTCCTTTTATCCGTAAATATATACACCTATCTACCTACCTATCACATATCCTCATCCAAGAAGCTTTTTCAGCTCTGACTGGATGGTATGGAACGGAAGGATTTATACCCCTTGCAGACAGCTGGTCATTTGCATTTCCCCACCATCAGAGCTGAAGAAGCTTCTTGGAGGAGAAGCAAAATGTCTTCCCAGAAAAACCAGAAAGTCGGGTTGCCTCTTGAAAAAAGCACCTTTGGGACAACCGTGACCTGGATGACTGAGAATCTCCACAGACACTTTGGAACCTAGATGTGAATCTCCAAGAGATACCCATCTGTTGTGGCTCGGTAGGAGCCTTTGGAGCTGCTATCAGACTCTGACACAGAAACCTCCTGTGAGTGGTTTCGGGATGCTCACAGGAGAGCATAACGAGCAGCTGTGGCTCGTTAAGGATCTCCTCCTGCGGATAAAAGACTGATAGTGCCACGTCCTCAACGTTCGTTCCGTTCCTGTTTGAGTCTAGGTTCCCTGTTCGTGTTCAAGATTCAGAGAAACCAACCTGGAGAAGTGGTTTGCTGTAAGAGTTTGTTTTTGCATTTGCTGTTTAACTTTTTGCCAGAGAATTTATCTNCATCCTTTGTCTTTGCACCTCTGCACCTGACCGGAACTGGATGGGTGGAACTGCCAGCATGGCAGTGGGAGATTGGACCATGTGATGGACTTGTGGATGTGGGGGCAGGGTCTTGAACTTTCAACTGGGTGGGGAAGCTTTCAGATTCAGGTTTTCCCAGAGGTGCCAACATGGCTCTCTTAATAAATTTGAACTTTGAACAATACTTTCCCTTGGACTCTGATTTACTTTTGGATGCTATTTGGAACCCAGACAATCGGGTGTTGTGGCCTGTCAGCCGCCGGCCCTTCCAGCAGCTGAATTTGAGGAGGAGGTGTGGGAGTCAGTGTTAGCATCAAGGCAACCCAAGAGCTCCAAGGGAGAAGAGCTGGCAGAGAGACAAACAGAGGTGGAGACTGAGCCATCCATCAGCCCTCAGATGGAGTGTCAACAGCTCCCAGGTCTGGAGGTGGCTGATGAGGAAGAGGAGAAACAGCTGGGTCCAGTGCCTGACATGTGGATGTGCAGAAGGTAGAGGAGAGGAGAGCAGTGGAAATCCATGGGCCGATCCTTGGGAAGGAAGAGCCATTGCTGCTAGCGAAGCCCCACCCTAGCTCTGGGGATAAAAGGCAGGGGGCAGAGATGAATAGGGGTGGCAGGCAACTATTCATCTTCTGGCCAGATGGACTTGTTAGCCTCTGAGACAAACTTTTTGCCAGGGCTGCCGGCAATCCTAACAAAGCAATCTTTTGAGTTCACATCAGAGGGTTTTCATGTTTGGGGAGCTAGGTCACAACATCGGGACTCAGGAAAAGCTCAGGCTGCTTGCTTCCTACGGGAAGAGCTCCAGGGAAAAACCATCAATGGAATTCCAACTGAAAACAAACGTCAGCCTGAGATCTCTTTGCACGATGATCAGCATCACCAATCAGTGCTGCAACTTCACTATTACGGGGATGCCCTGGATCCAGCCCAGAGCATCCGGCAGACGAGTAGCGCCCTCACCCAGGTCCACCAGGATGGCATGCTGCTGTGTTGTCAGCTGCTTCAAGAGATCTTTGTAGGAGATGTCGGGAGGCTGTTGCTTATTTGGGAGCCGGTGTCTGACGCGGTGCTGCACGGCCAGAAATTGCCAAATTTCTCCCCGGCGGCTTTTGGGGACACCTGAATAAAACCGTGAAGAATGAAAAGGTAGAGAGAGAGATATGCATAATTTCTTTTTTTTTCCCCCTGCAATCACACATACATACACAGGGACAGCCTTGAGTGTGTGCAACAGCTGAAAATACCTGACAGTAGTGAGGCTATTTCTGAACTTAAGAAAATAAGCTTTGTCTTTGATTGGCCTTGAAAACTAAGCAGGGGCGGATTTTATTAGGATGGTGGGGAGACAGCAGAGGAAATCCACCAGGTTATATATAGTTGCACCACTGGAGAAATGCAAGGAAAGTATCTCAGGGAGAAGGAACAAACACACCCTGTTGGCAAACACCCACCCACAAACACACAAACCCAACCTGGAGGTGCTCCTGAAGTACCAAGAACTGACTTCCACTCAAGGACACCTTTCTCTTTTTCAACCTTCAATGGCTGAATCAAAACTCAATGCTGTAATCAATCCCTAATTAACAAAAAACACCAGGCAGTAGATGCAAAGGAAGGAACCCCACTGAGATTTTGAGACACAGCAAAAATGTTGTGCAATGTTCCTCTCCTGCATGGGTTGCCATTTCCCTTGCAGATGCCAAGCCTTGGATGCAGGGGTGGGTTCCAAATTTTTGAACAGCCAGTTCTCAGCTGGGTGGGTGTGGCTGGGTGGGCGTGGCTGGGTGGGCGTGGCTGGGTTGGTCATGTAAATGAGTGGGCGTGGTCACCTCTACATCACATGTGTGGGTGGTACCTGTATGGGTCAGGCATGGTTGGGGAGGAAATCCAGGGGGCTCGGGTGGGTGGGAGGAAAGAAAGATCATGTGTGTGTGTGTGTGTGTGTGTGTGTGTGTGTGTGTGAGAGAGAGAGAGAGAGAGAGAGAGAGAGAGAGAGAGAGAGAGAGAGAGAGAGGCAGAGACACAAAGATTGCATCAAGCTAGACTGGGAAAGTTGGCTGCAAGAGGAAGAGAAGCTGAGTAAGTTGTTTTGGGGTGTTTTTTGGACTGGTTTTCAGGCCGTTTTCAGGCCTTTTTTTCAGCCAATTTCAGGCTGATTATCAGGCTGATTTTGGCTGGGGGGGAAAACGGCCTGAAAATGGCCTGAAAAACAGGCGGGGTCAGCCAGTGGTACCAATTTGCCGGTTCTCCGAACTGCGCTGAATCGGAACTACTGGTTCAGGTGAACCAGTCAGAACCGGCAGCATCTCACTTCTGCTTGGTTGAGACCCATGCCTTTTTCCCAGGCACTAAGTCCGTCGGGCTCCGAACTTACCACTTTTCAGGGTGGTATGAATGTCTTCCACATCACATCTGATCTTGGCTCTGCAATTCAACAGTTTCTTGTCCCAGATGTTAATGGCATCCTTCTGACAGGTTCCAACTTCCTCATAGTCCAGCTTAATTTTCCTGGATTGGAGCTCGTCTCTGCTCGCTGCAAAAGAAAAGACCCATGAAGCATCTTCAGATAAACAGCTACAGTACCTTCACAACTTCTGGAGACAAATTGTTCCATTGGTTAATTGCTCTCACTTTCCGGAAATTTCTCCTTAGTTCTAAGTTGCTTCTCTCCTTGATCAGTTTCCACCCATTGCTTCTTGTTCTGCCCTCAGGTGATTTGGAGAATACTTGACTCCCTCTTCTTTGTGGCAGCCCCTGAGATATTGGAAGACTGCTATCCTGTCTCCCCT